TTTTTGGCGTTTCTAAAACCACTACTCAAAAGGAATATGGATTAATTACTTCAGTATTGCAACATCGGGATTCATCGTGAGTAAACAACAGAATAGAAAAGGTGCAAACCATGTTCCGTACGTTCGCTGACCATGCACTCTGAAATTATTGGAGTTTTCTCGTAAAAGTAGGAACTAAACTACCGTACCAATCACGATTATTATGCAATGAAATACACTTTTTACATGCATATTTTAATAAATGTCGTTGATGCCCGGTAAAAAAAAAACCCTGGGCCTATGCTCGGGGATGCCCTCAACTTGTTAAATGTCTAAAAACAGAGGGTGGGCTTATACTCGGGAAGGGGATTATACTCGGGGAAATTACGGTACTATGCTTATGTATATGTATTTTATCTTGATCTGCTTTCAGTTTCTTTCCATGATTTGAAGCTTAATCCTATATTCATATGGTGGTGATGACCATGCTGTCATCGTATATGTTAAACATTGAAGGCTATTACATTTTCTTTATTCAAGTACATCTACATATCACATTGTATTGAATGTATTTCCATGGAAACAATGACTTATAATTTCCCAATAGTATTAAGCTCTACTCTGGTGGTGACTCTTAATTGAAAATTTATCAAAAAATGTACAATTAAATTCAAAAACTAATTCTTCAATGCGGATTTGTTACTTTCGATTTTCAAGTATTGTGCATTTCTTGATTTCTTGGTAAGTATAAATTTGTTTGTCCTTGTTCAAACACAGTCTGAACGAGTGAGAACTTAAGGATTGACCTTTGTGTCTATATGCATTTTTGTGTCCATTTTTCTGTCCTTCCGTATCCAGCCATATATCTCACACATGCTTGGAATGATAAAGCTCTAATTTCACAGCTACATCAGGACATTATATCAGATGTATGCACATGCATTTGTTTCAAGATACAATTCAGAATGGCTGAATACTAGCCATATTATTAATGCCAAAAAATTTTTCAAAATCACACATTTTCACTGTTCTGGAACTGGATCTCAGTTGTGCATGGAGGGATTTTGAATGACATGATGCAGTTCCTTTTATTTTATTTTTTTATTCAATATGATTGGACTGAACAAGTTTAAACTTCACACATATATTAGACATCATATCAAACAAACACATGCATTTTTGTCACCATTAACTGGTGGCTAACTTGCAGTTTCACTGAGCCATACATATCAGCCAGTATTATGAATATCGCTTTGGTAGTATAAAACAGGGACTATGTCAATCTGATTAAAATCTGTGTACGAGCCTTAATTATTTTGGCTATAAACTTATTTTAATTTTATTTTTTATTACTTTTTTTATTAATGCCTTTTTATTTTATTATTTTACTTTGATTTTGATTTTGTTAATTCCGCCCTACATACATCTGGTCCGACGTCTATGTAAGTCCCGTTCAAATCTTGCGTAAGTAACAGCCAATCACAGCCCCCCTTTTATACAGGCTGTAGGTTGCTTACTTTTCAGTGTAGCAATACTCTACGGGCAATCTTTCTGTACATTATATTTTGCCCACTTGAATAAATCATTAATACATGTAGAAAATTGCTAGTATATTTTTATTTACAAAAGAAATTCCACAACATTTGGAGCAAAAAAGTATTTCCTGATTAATTGCCATGTGTTCCAAATAAAAAATATTTTATTTCAGTCCAAATCAGCTCAATTACTTTAATAAAGAGTTATTGTATAATGTACAAAATGTTGATACATTTTGATGAATATTTACAGCTACAGCTTCAATACCGTAGATGATTTTGGCCCCATTGTCAACAAAACATCACCCGTCTCCAGGGCAAGCGACTGGAAAAAGACACCGGTGTTCGGTCGAACCGGTGGAAACAAAATCGTCACCCCCAGAATAACTACGCAAAATAACAATCTAAACTCGAACCACTTGAGCCACAATATAAACATAAAAAAATTACTTTCGTTGCATTTGACAATGATAAACTTACCGAAAAGCCGTGTTTTTCTCGGTCGCTAACGTCAGTATAATCCGCCATTTTATTTGAGTGTATTTGCCACCTGACTCTGCCCGGTGACGTCATCATGTGCGCTATAGAAGGAGATCTGTGATTCGTTGACTAAAATCGACGATAGTGGGTCTCGTTAAAATCTCGTTACAAAATCAAAATCAAAGTAAAATATAAAGGCATTAATAACAAAAGTAATAAAAAATAAAATTAAAATAAGTTTATAGTCAAAATAATTAAAGCCCGTACACTACATCAGATTTTAATCAGATTGGGACTATGTCATTGACAATGACTATTTTTATATAAAATATTAACAAACAAATGTTTTATAAATTTCCACAACTGTCAAGTTTGAATATGATCAGTCAACGGATGAACTGCATTTCTTAAAACAAAATATCCCCCAGTCACTGCTTACAAATTGTTGTCTTTTCCTGACTCAAGATTCACCAAAGAACATCATAAAATTTGTATTACAATTCCATGTTCTAAACAACGTGGTGAATTCCTACTTTCAACATTTATTTCCTGGGTGTTTGCTGTGTTTATCTGAAACATGCACTGGACAATGTCTTTGATTGGAATTCTATTTCACCCTGTGACAGTTCATCTTGCCACATCAACAATGCTTTCAATTGTGTTATTTTGAAATTATTATTTCATCTAAGTTTACCTATCAACGAACTTGCATTATATATTTTTTTTTTCTGAAAACAAGGATACCTAGTTTTCTTTATATCTATCTTGGACAACACTTGCATGTCATAACTGATTTGCTTACTTTCTTGAAAGCTTCATCAGAAAAAACAAACAAATAAATGAATAAATGAAAAAAAATATTAATTCGTACACAAGAAAGAAAAAAAAAATTTCTATTTGTATCCTATTAGGCCAAAAAAAAAAAAACTATGTTGTCGGAAAATTGAAAAATTGGGTCAATCGGTTGGATTTTTTTTTTTTTTTTAAACTCGTGAAAACTAAGGGTAAATAGTCAAGGTATATGGAAAAAAAAAAAAACGCGACCCGTTATATTTTTTTGGTCGGTCGCTGAGGGCAACATAAATTTTTTTTTTTTTTTGGCCTTGGTTCATACTCTCGAACAAACAATTATTTTTACTATCATATTAGTTGTATTTATTTGTTTTTGGGTGCTGAAACATCGTCTATGGGCAATCATTTGTCGTGGGTGATGTTTCATATAAATATGGTAATATTTCACTGACAAATATGTATGTTGACATCAATAATCTTGTGTTTTCTTTAATACAGAGAAAGTCAATGATGCATTTGTTTAAAGTTCATGTGTCAGAGAAATTGTTTTGGAAATAAAAATTGTAAATTTATACATCGATCTCAAGATGTCACTACTTTTTTAATAAATCCCTGATACATGACGGTACTCCCATACTGCATTTCACTTCAACCTCCTGTTGTGATAGCCAAAAAAATGTCCTTTGCTTACATAAATATTTTGCCTGTTTAAACTGGCAGCTATAGTCTCTCAGACTATAAGACAGATGTACCATGTTATAGTACCATAATGTACATTGGGTTTCAAGTAACTAGACATGTGCTTAGAATTGTTCAATGTCTCTTTCGAAGACATTCTAAGAAATGCAATCATTATACACATAAACTGCCACTTCATGTTGTTGAGACACTTCTGACAAGAGTGCAGCCGCTAAGGAGCATGAAATTTCAGAAAAATGTACTCTCTATAAACTCAGTTATGACTACACTATTAGTCTTGGCTAAGATTATGATAATACAAACTTAGAAATTCGTCACTACATGACCATGAGTGTTTTAATCTGTGTGTGTGTTTGCTTGTACGAGTATGTGCGTGTGTGTCATTCTGTATCTGTATCACATTCAAACTTCACAAATACATCACATGTCTTGGGCAACGTATGCACGTCCATTCATCTAATGATCCAATTCAAGATGGCTGAATGGTGCATGGCAATTTTTGTGCTAAAAATTCATCAAAATTAAGTATTTCTGCCTTAATTTTTCGAACCGAATTTTGGTCATGTATGGTCAGATTTCTCTCAAACATTGGACAATATATGGATCACGTTCAAAATTACCAACTGGTAGCCATTTTGTCTCAACAAATGCAGCGATATTTCCAACATATTCTGACTGAACATGTTCAAACTTTACCTAATTATACGTCATATTACACATGTACATATTTTAATTCATTTGGTTATTCGATTAAAGATGCCAGAATTGCGGTTGTTTTAATTTCTTTATAATCAAGCGTTTCCGCAATTTCCGCAAATCTGGATCACGGTCTTGCATACTAGACAGATCTTGATATGTACCCGGTACATCTTAATGTCTGTCACTTTGTTTGTCAGCTCGGATTTTAAATAGCCACTGCTGGGCATTTTGTTTAAGTAATTGCAGTTTTGAAGCTATATCTTTGACATTCTCTGACTGTTCATGTTCAAATTTGATATATTTCTTAAATTTGAGAACTCACTGGTACTATGTAATACAATTATATGTTAATGTTGATATTGCTATGCCTTTTAGAACTCAGTGATGATAAAATGCACTATCGATTTAATGTAATTATTTTCAGATTTCTGGTTTCTTCATCTAAAGACATTGCGGATAACAAATATAGCATTTTCTGAAGATAGTTGTAAAGTGGGTGTGTCATGCTGGGATGGTTCGTTCTACGTGTTCCAGCTGGTTAGTAAACAAAACAAGATATTTTCCATATGAGACTGATTAATATAAATCAATTTGATATTGTTTGTACTTCAAATTTTATCATTCTCAGGAAACTGATTTGTTCTCAGAAAAGGGTACCTCTACCTATTTTTCATTATTTTGCACTTCTGCAACTGTTCTTGCACTCAATGTTGACAACAACATTGACAACTCCAAAACGTTTGATACAACAGGAATCAAGCCCAAACAAACATCACTCGCAACTTCCATAGAACTTCCATATTTTATTGGCATGCATCATTAGAAAGCTGCATGCAAGTCTGATTTACGTGTACATTTCATTTGTTCAAACTCATATTTTATTGTCACATGTAAGTCTGGTTTCTGTACAGGTTATGACTAGAATGCAAAGTGGAAGTTGGATTTACTTGTACACGCATATAGACAAGTGGCATATAAACAATTTTGCGCCTCATTTTTTCCATGCGCAACTACCCTTTATACATACATGCTGAATTTCTCAGTTTCTAACTTCTTTGGAAACTCAAGTTCCGCATTTCCTGAATATTTAGGGGACTGACTGATTGCATGTGAGTTTTTATGATGCTGAACTTGGTCCTCGATTTTGATGCATATTTCAGATACATTTTCAGATTTAGTGTTTATTGGCCAACCGTACTTAAATATCAATGAATCGTGTATTACTCTAAATATTTTTTGAGTAATTCTGTTTTTCTGTCTCTTTAGTCTTTTAATATTTGTAACATTTCCTGCTTGCCGAAAAGAATAATTTTAAAAAAATGAATCGCCTTCTACTTTGGGGATTGTTCGAGAAACATGATTTCAATATTCTTCAAAATACCGGTACATGTGTATATCAAAGTCATGTAGCATGTTTGCTCATCAGTTTGTTAATTATTCTCTTTGTTTGTTAATTAATTAAGCACTTTTTAAAATCTTTAACATTAAACAAATCAAGATATATTACAATAGTATGGCTTCCATTTTTTTTTTTTTTTTAATATTTCATGAATTCATTAGAACAAATCAGAAAATATTTAATACTTGTATTAAAATCGCAGAATCTAAACCAGGAGCCAACTTTAGCATTATAATATTTTCCTGACAGGTGTTCGGTGGCGATACTTACAAATGGGAACCCATTAAATACCATGTGAACTCTCCAGTAGAGAAAGTAAGCGGCATACTTCCTGCTACATTAATAACATGGTCACATTGTGATCAATATTTCAGGTATGTAAATTATTATTCATGCGCATGTTTTAAGTTCTAATTTTTACAGTGTTGCCAGTTTTTGTTTCTGTGCTGACCCTTTTTATAACCCTTATGTTTTATTCCTTTAATCTGTGATATATCAGTAGTACAGAGAATAATTGTTAGTTTTTAAATGTTTAAAAAGCAACTTTTTTTACTTTCCACAAAATAAACTCACAGAACAATAAGAAGTTGGTTAAATTTTAATAATATTATACAAATTCCGTAAAATGTGCTAATGTTGGAACAAAATTTTCATGATTTTATCGTACGTAAAAATTTCAGTCTGACCATACTTTGCTTGGGGGAATATTGTTATTCAATTTGTTTTAAAAAAATATTTCTATCTGGATTTCATCTGTTCTTTTAGAAAAATTCATAGTGAAGTTTTGATTGAACAAAAAACATGCACTTATATGCTCATCCATATGTATATGGTATAGCTTATTGTGTGAACTTGACAGCCTTGGATTCCTGTGATGGTTCAGGTTCATTGATCAGATCAATTAAACTTATCAGAGAGGTAAAACAAACAATAACATTCTGCTGTTGATTGTGTGTTTTGTTAACAAATATTGAATGGAGTTTGAAGAATGCTTAGTTGATTTGGGAGCTCATTAGTTTTGTTGAGAGACAAAGAAAATAGTTTGGGATTAGGAGTCCATCCTTGGCTCCTCCTGCACATAGCTGTCTCGTCTTCCTTTCTCAGTATACATACGTGTCCTAGAAATTAAATCATAATCCTTCACCATCACTAAACTCATTGAGTTTTCAAGAAGATCAAACTTTCAACCTCAATTCCAACACCCCACCCTCCTCTGACCTATTGTATGTAAACATGTTTTAAGTGGCCATGGATATTTATAACTTGTGCACAGCAAATATAATTATTGACTCCCATGTGTGAAGCACACAATGGGAGTGTTTGCAGTTAGTTTGTCTGTATGTATGTATGTGTGTGTGTGTGTGTGTGTGTGTCTCTATTTTTTCAACTGATATCTCTAGAATCGTATGTTGGATTTTGATGAAACTTGATGCATAGATGCTCTGGGCTAACACACAGATTTGATTAGGTTTTAGTTTGAACCATGCATATTAATTTGCATGTTGATTAGCTAATTTTTAGCTGTTCCATGACTTTTCGACTGATATCTAATTAAACACTCATTGGATTTTGATGAAACTTGGTTCATAGATGCTCTGGGACAGTGCACAAACTTGATTCGTTTTGGGTGAAAATCTATGTATACTAATTTGCATAATGATATGTCAATTTTTGGCTTTTCCACTGATTTCTTAAGTACTTTTTATCACGTTACAATGAAATTTAGTACATGGATGCTCTAGGACAATGAACAGACCTGGCTAATTTTGGTTAAAATCTATGCATATTAATTACCTAATTTGCATAATAATTAACGATTTTTTGGGGGGCATTTAAGTAGATATCTCAGATTCTGATTACATTTCAACTTGGTTCATTGATGGTCTATGACATTGTGCAGACCTTATTCGTTTTACATTGAAATCTGCATGTTAATTACCTGATTTGCATAATGTAAATAATTAGTCAGTTTCCAGATTTTTCATCAATATCTCATTCAAGGAATCTTGGTACACAAATACTCTAAGACAATACACTGACCTAATTAGTTTGGATTGAAATCTAAGCATAATAATTGCTTATTTTGCATAATAATTACTCAATTTTTTTCAAAAAACAATTATTGCATTTCAATAATGCTTGCTATGTAAGTGCCTGGAAGCAATGCATTGGTTTTTAATGCAATACATAGCTGTGCCTGTATTTAATTATGCATGACCTACCTCCCCCTACACATATAGGTGAAGTGGATAAAATGTCATATATTATTGAAGTTCAATCTTGAGACAAACTACCCGATATAATCCCGATGAAAGCAATTAACCAATGTTGTTTATTTCACAAAAAGTCAATGCCTTGAATAAAAAAATCTTGAGTCTTTGTAGTTGACCTGTCTTTGACCTGTCTTTGACCTGTCTGTGCATGTGCTGAACAGATAACAGAGTTTAATTTGGGTGACATATCACATCAACAGTGATTTGTATTCAATCATTGGGCTACCACTTTCCAGAAACTTTTTTTGCAGAAAGTGAAACTTGATACTGTAAATGCATTAATTATTTTCATTTTAATTAGGTGAATTAAATGCCAGTGAAATTTAATGGGTTTACAGTATTATTGAAAAATTTTCATAAAGCTAAATATCAAATTATCTCATTTCAAGTTTTTATGGGTTGCCAAGTTTGGTGTATTTTACTTCTTCAGAATGATGAATTTATTTATGTAAGCTTTTGCAAGATGCATGCTTTTCTACTGATATCTCAAGTATTAATCATCACATTTCAATGAATCTAACACTATGCAATTAGTTTTCAGTAAATATTTATGCATATTAATCTCCTAATTTGCATAATTAAATCGATTTTCAACATTCAAACTAATGTCTCAAGTACTAATCATCACATTTCAATGAAACTTTGTACATGGATGCTGTAGGACAATAGACAGACCTGATTAATTTTGGGTTAAAATCTATACATTTTAATTACCTAATTTGCATAATTAACCAATTCTAGGCTATCATGCTGATATCTAAAGTACTAATTATTCCATTTCAATGAAACTTAGTACAAAGATGCTCTATGACAATGTACAAACCTGATTAGTTTGGGGTTAAAATCTGTTTATATTAATTCCTAGTTAGCATAATAATTCATAATTTTTTGGTTCTAATCACATTTCAATAAAACTTGGTACATAGATGGTCTGTTACTTTGCACAGACCTCATTAGTTTTACACTCAAATCTGTTCATATTAATTTTCTAATTTGCATAATTAGTTTTCAGCTTTTCCATCAATATCTCAAGTACAAGTAATTTCGAATTATTTTTAATGTGTCTCCAATACTTTCAGCACATGGGAGTTCTTTCTAAGCTTTCTTTGATTATTAGTCCCCATTCGGACGCAGTCCGAAAACGAGGACTTATGTTTTGACCTCCGTGTGTGTGTGCGTGCGTGCGTGTGTGCGTCTGTGCGTGTGTCCAGACCTTTACCTTAGAAATGCCTGGACCAATCACAATCAAACTTCACACATACATCATACATGATATTATACATGTGCACGTCAATTTGTTTCATGATCTGATACAAGATGGCCGAATGGCGGCCATTTTTGTGCTAAAAATCATCAAAATCGAGCATTTCCCGGTTGTTTACAGATGGATTTTGTTCAAATCTTGTATATACGTTGGACATTATAGGACCTTGATGCACATCATTTTGTTTTACGATCTGATTCAAGATGGCCGAATGGCGGCAATTTTTGTGCTAAAAAATCATAAAAAGCAACCATTTCTCAGCTGTTTACAGATGGATTTTGCTCAAACTTGGTATATACATTAGATAACATTCAAAATGGCCGACTGG